GCAGATTTGAGCAAGCAGAATTCTTCTTCATTTGCTTGAATCTTTGCAGTGATAGATTTGAGAGGAACTTGGTGTCTGCTTAGATGGGCATCTCCCTGAAGCTTCCTGACTCTTCCATTTTCCCTCCACTTAATAGTGAGCTGGTTGAAATAAATTCAACAGTTCCCAATCCAGATAACCATTCTAATCCCAAAACCATCTCTATTTCTCCCAATTCTAAGACATAGAAGTCTTGAATGATGTTAGTCTGTTGTATGTTAATAGAAACAGCTTCACATCTCCCATCATTTCTGATTAGGTCCCCATTTCCTATTTCCCTTTTATATTCTGGGAGCTGGTGGATAGATACTCCTGCTGTTTGAGCTACCCTTTGAGATATAAAATTGTGAGTAGCCCCACAATCAATTAGAATGATAATATCTTTAGTCCTTCTGCCACTTGTTAATTTCCCTTTCACTCTGAAAGTCTTAGGGGCTGTGATTCCTTCTTTGTTCATGGAAATCAGCTGCATATTAGAGGTGCCTGCTTCTTCCCACTTTGGACTAATTGCCATTGTACCAGGTCTCTTTTTACCAATGCATGAATTTTCTGGCCATTGGATAATCTCTCCTTGCTCCTCGGTTTCGTCCTTCTTATTCAGTTTCTTGATTACAGATTCCGTTGGCTCCATCTCAGTTTTATTTATTGACTGGGGCAATTCTTTCGCAGGTTGAGAAACTTGTGAACTCATCAATCCTGATAGTGAAGAATATGGTGATTGCGAGTTGGGGTTTTCTACTTGCAACCATTTTTTAGAATGGTAATGCGAAGAGCTATGAGAAGAATGATGCGAAGAGATATGCGAAGACCTCGATGACTCTGGTTTTGCTGTCTTCCCTGTCTTCTGCAGGTGTCTAGGTGGAAAATCCCTAATCAAATCTTCTTTTAAAGCCTCCCAACTATCTTCTCTCTTTTGAAAGTCCCACCATTGAAACCAGCCATCTGCAGCTTCCCCCATTGCCTTTGCTGCAATGTCTACTTTAAATCTTTCTGCAATAGCTTGGACTCAGAAATATCTTTCCATCCTCCCTATCCATGCGTACGCTTCAACCTTGTGGAATAGAGGTAATTCCTCTGTCTTTGACCTAGCTCCGACTTCATCACGAGTCTTCCACCCATCATCGCTAGTCTTCCGCGCTTCATCGCGATTCTTCCCCACCTTCTCTCTGTTTCGTTCCAATTTGCGCAAACCAGATGCGGACAGTTCTGACCATCGATGTTCTTCGCGTAAACCATAGCGCTTCTCCATGGTTCCAGGCGTCGATTGCTCTGAAGAAGACGAAGAAGATTCACTACTGTCCAGTCTCTTGCTTCGCTTTGTTGTTTTGGACCTTCCGCTTGAGTGGCGTTCATTCCTCTGCAGAATTAATTCGCGTAACTCTTCGTTAGTGCGTCTGGCCCCTTCGCAATTCTTCTCCCGCTCCATGTTCTCTCTGGAGTATGATTGCGTTGGACTGTCATGTCGTTTGTCGCGAGTTGAGGTTCTTGACCTTCCTCGCTCATGTCCGTCATTCTGCTTTATCAACAGTGCGCGCAACTCAGCCATCTCATGCCGCAACTCTTCGCGATGATGTTCCAGCTCGCGTTCGAAACTGTCCAATTTTCCTTCCATCGTTCTACGCGTCGCAACCATGGACATGTGTCAGAAACGGTGCTCTGATACCAATGTTAGGTTATCGGTAATTCAACAGTAATTCTGAGCTCAAAAATGGCTATGAAGATCAAAAACAAAAGTTCATTGTTTAACCGAGAGACAAGAATACAATTCCCAAGTCGTTTCCTACTCCCAGTCCCGAGTCCCAAGCCCGATAATTCCAACCCCCCCTTTCTTCTATTCCCAGCCTACCTTATTTATTCATTCACTCATGGGCCAGCCCACCTCCACTTAGTTATAAGGCCTACACCCCTTTTATTACAAAATATTAAGACTTAATAATATTCTTAGGTCTCTATCAATATATTGTTCCAATGTTATTATCATATACTCCCTCCGTCCTTTAAAACTTTGCCAAGTTTGACCGGCACGAGGATTAATAAAGTAAAAACTGTGTGATTGAGGTTTGTGAAGAGGAGAGAGAATTAACTGGAACCACAAATTCTTTACTTAAAAGAGAAAGTGGCAAAGTTAGTGGACATCCAAAGAAGAAAAGTTGGCAAAGTTTGAAGGAACGGAGCGAGTATAATATAACTAATTATAGTTGTGTGTTGTGTATGTGTATGGACATCTTACCGTCACTTTTTCACTTTTAAAACCTATCTAACAGTTATGATAAATTTTATTAGTTACTTCTTCCATCCCGCTAAGATTGACACATCTTTTAATTTTGGTCCGTCCGACTAAGATTGTCTCATACCAAATTCGGTAATGTTTGTGTGGTTCTAAATTAGCATATGAAATCGGAACTAAAAAAGATAACAAATATAAACAAACAAGCAACAACATCCAAGCCTTAATCCCAAAAGAATTTGGGGTCAACTAACAAATATAAACAAAGAGATAGATAAAATAAGATAAAAAGGATAAAATAGAGATAAAAAAGATAAAAATAAAGAACATCAGAAAGATAAAAAGATAGAAAGGATGAAAAGAGGTCAATCCTCCACCCGAATATAATGTCTCCACTTCGCTCTCTTGAAAGTAATACTCTCACCCAACCCATGAATTAGCAACGTCAAACCTATTCGAACTTTAAACTTGGTCGAACATGTCAAACTATATTGAACCAATGTAATATGGTCAACCTCAATCAAACTCGGTTAAACCCATTCAGAAGTAGTATCTGAATTCACTTCAAAACTTTTTTTTTTCATATTAACTTAAATGTCACCATTTTGTCTGGTGTTTTAAGTAATTTCAACCATTTGAAAAAGGGGGATAGTTTCATAATAAGTATCCTTCTTGAGGTCATTTTGATAAAAAAAATCACATAATTTACTATTTGCATCTACTCTTTAACATATTTTTATAAATAAAGGCTTTATTTTTGTAAGACTGTGTTTTGTGGTTTGGGAATGACAGACTTTAAAAGTTCAATGATTTAATTTATTATAATTAATTTTTTTAAATTCTTTAAATGTACATAACGTTAATGCTCCTCTAATCCACGTTTGATTAGGTCTTCCTCTCCCTCTCCTCCTCACCTCTAATCACATTGTTATCATTGCTTCCACATCCACCAAACTTACACTCCATATACTCAGTTTTGCTTCGACTTGTCGTGAAACTTTTGTTCCCAAAATATGTCTCCATACTTTCAATTTTGTTTTAACACCCGATCTTGTCTCATCGGTCAACACAATATCGTCGGCAAACATCATACATCACGGCATATCTACTTGAATTGACTTCGTGAGTTCATCCATGACTATAGAAAATAACAAAGTATTTAGAGTTGATCCTTGATGCACTACAATAGTAGTAAGGAACTCTTCAATCCTTCCTAGACTAGTATGCACACTTGTAGACAATCCCCATACATATTCATGATGATGTTGATATACTTATGTGATATGTCTTATATAGTTCAGGCCTGCCAAAGGACTTTTTAAGGTACCCTATCATATGCGTTTCTAAGTTGGTGAACACCAAATGCAGATCCTTGTTAGTTGTTACGTGTTAGTGTCTCTATACTTCTCCACAAGTTGCCTAAAAAGGTGAATGTTATTATTTATTATTATTATGATATACTTTCTCCGTCCCGAAATAAATGTCCTACTTTCCTTTTCGGTCCGTCCCAAAATAATTGTCTTGTTTCCTCTTTTGGCAATAATGGGTGGCTCGTATCAATTCACATTTTTCTACTCAAATCTCAACCACAACTTTTACCTTTTCAACCACTTTCTTAAAACTTGTGCAAAAGCAAACAAGACGTTTATTTTGGGGCGGAGGGAGTAATATATAATAATACATGATTAATTCATTATGTATGCACGGATTGCACACTAATACACGTACATATGTTTATGTATATGTATGTTTGTATGTGTTCGTTATATATAATAATATAGTACATTTATATATATATACATATATGCATGTATTATTTATATAGGCCGTGCTTGGTGTACACGTTTTTTGTGTACACCTTTGGCACACTTGTCTGTCTACGCAGACAGAGTTGTCTGCATGTAGACAAATCTGTGCTTAGACAGACAAGTGTGCCAAAGGTGTACACAAAAAACGTGTACACCAAGCATTTTTCTATTTATATAGATATGTGTATATATATATGTATGTATGTATAATACACACACTGACACACACATATGTTTGTGTGTATATATATTATGTACATATAAAGTGAGGATGGGGTGGGTATAGCAGTCCCCGTCACCCGCCCCATATTTTAGTGGGGTTGGAATATCTTACCCATCCCCGCCCCGCTCCATCATTCCTTGCGGGGCCCACCCCCATTGCCACTCTTAGGTAGGACCTTTCTCATTGGTGGTTTGACTTGGACAGTATATTTTGTTAAACCTTGTTAATCCTTAATGATGCGTGGTATTGTTGTTGTGCTTCTTGTATTAGGTTTCCCTCCGACTTGTATTTCCTTCTTCACTTAATACCCCATTTAAGGGTGCCTAGATCATACCCACCAACTTTAGCGGTCAAATTTTTTAATAAATCCCGCTGTCTCTCACCTATAGATCTGTATTCGAAGTTTAAAGAAAAATAAAATAACTTTCCACAGAAAGTGAATTTGTGTTTGGTGTTAAGTGAGGAACCAAATTACCTCTTCTTATCAACTACAGAAAGTGTTACTTTCCTTCTTAAACAAACACATCCTCCCTTTGGATACACCACCATAGCAGACAGTGTTACTTGACCCACAGTTTTAATAGGAGTCCAATCATTTGCCGAAACTTATTTTTATATTATTTGGCAAATAAAATTATTTATTATCACTTGAAAACAAAATTACTACACCTTTTCAGATTCACGGATAAGTTCACGAAAATACCTGTGTACGCCCGGCATCCGCAACAACAAAAGTGGGGAGGCCTATGCTGTCAGCTGCTTCCTTTAACTTGTTCCTACATACAATTTAAATTTTTCCATGTCATTGTTAACCAGCTGACGGATGGTGGCTGTCAGGGGATGCTGGGGCCTATGTGGGAACTTTTAAAGCAGTGATCCATATAAGGAACTGCTTACATTTCTTGCTGGTTCCTGCAGCTAACAACTATCTTGGGCTGCCCACAAATTTCCCATTGCCTCAACAGAGACCTATCACTGCACAAGTAAAGTTCATTCCATCACAATAAATTGCTCATCGTATTAAATTTAGTAAACTGAAATAAAAACTGTAATTAAGAAAGAGCAAATAACCTGCAGAGGTAATATGCTCAGAAGCATTGTGGATCCCTCAACATAGGATAAAAAAGGAGTAGTAAATACCTGGACATTAGCTCTGAGTACATGCCAGTTGCAGCATCTGCATTTTTGTTAAAGGAAGCATCCAAATAGAGAAGATCATTGAGATGATGTATGAAAGTTGTGATCTAAAATTATACTCCCTCCGTCCCAAAATGAACTTCACGGTCACTATTCACATGGTCAACTTAAATTACTCTTAATCTTATGTTTTATATATCAAATTTTTATCAAATTTATATTTTTTATCAGCCTTTGTAGCGGTTTTAATGTAGTTTCTCAATATGTAAATTTTATTTACTAAAAGTAATCTGAGTATGATCAGGGATCGAGTTGCTTTATCGTCAGTCAAGCATCGTAATCCGAAACGGGAAGTTCATTTTGGGACAGAGGTAGTAAATGCCAATGAATGTTTTACGTGCACATTGGGATGCAATTTTCCCTTGTCCCATCTTCAAGTCTCGCCTTACCACCAAGACCTGTTAAAGAACTTCTCAAAGTAAGAGACAGATATGTTGAATACCTTAAGAATCTGAAACATCAATCGGTTACATATTATTTCACAAACCCATAGTTTGGTATGTGGGTGGAAATATTATTTAATTCTAATGATTCTGAACTAGCTGTTGTTATCTGCAAGAGCCAGCGAACACCCTCTAAGGATCCCATTAAAGAGAGAAAAATTTCCCAGAAAAGTGGTCGTGATCCGTGCAAAAACCCCTAGTGAGTCTGAATTAAACTCGATAAAAATCTTACATGAGATTTGATTCATCCGTGCAAAAACCACATAAAAAGATTTTTTCAAAGTTACCTTAATCCGACATTGAAGAGTTAATTTAACAATACTTTGCTTTTCGAAATGATTTTAAGTTCCCATATACTTCGAAAAATCCACAGTTGAACAGCATAATCTTCTTGCAACTTTATAACGAAAATCTTGAGTGTGAGGAAATTGTTTAAGAGAACATAAAACCAACAAGAGTTACCAGTTTGAGTTCATCATCAGAGTTAGCTGATCCTTGGGTCACTGTCTTCTCCTTTTGATTTCTGGACAACAATCGACTCCTCCTGGTAAGGGAATTGTTGCTTCGATTGTTATTGCCGCTAGGTCCAGAGGGCTTCGACAGATCCAACAATAGTCCGAGAATAAAACCGATTACCACCCCAGGTATAAAGTTCGCTGGCTTGAAACTAACTCCTAACCACTCTTTCGACTGCAGTTTTAAAAGTGATGAAGTTTTGAAAATTAAATTAACAAACCCAAGAAAACTGGAATTGTAAAACTGTAGAGATTAAGATATTCCATGAATGGGATTGTGAGTATGGGTGATGTTTAGCTTAGCACCTTCTTTGCAGGTTGAGAATGACGCTGCATTGGTTTTCTGATCGGAGAAGAAGATTTCCCGTTGCGTCTTGAGTGTGGTTTCGATCTGCAATAGTGTCACGGAGTGTGGTTTCTACATGCAATAGGAAAATTCTGAAGTCCTAAAGTTCTGAGCTGAGGGGCCGTCCCAACAAAGCACGGTTTTAGGTGGAATTGTTTGAAGATTTCATGGTATCTTCATCAAGTATACTTTATCCACACAAAAATTCAGCTCAAAATTCGATCGGGAAGACCGTCAAATAATTTTTTGAAGTTGACTGCGTTTTTCTATGAATAATTTTGCGCAGTTAACTTCCAAAAATTATTTAACGGCCTTCTCTATCGAATTTTGAGCTAAATTTTTGTGTGGATAAACTACACTTGATGAAGAACATACCATAAAACTTTCATCGAAAAATTCCACCGGGAACCGCCCGAACGGCGGTGTTCGGACGGCATTCGGACCAAAACCTGCTGGACAGGACTCAGGAGTGACTCATATATATAGGGAAGAGTTCAAATGAAAAGTGGTCTTCCCGTGCAAAGTGCAAAGTTTTCACTTTTTCATGTTACGCTTGCACTTTTTGTTGTTTGCATTGCACTTTTTGGCCATTTTGATTTTGGCCAAATTCGGCCAAAATGACGGTGGCATTTTTGTAAATAAACCAATTTTTTTGAGCTATCGCGAAAAAGTGAAACGAAAGCAAGAAAAAGTGCGAGCGAAACATGAAAAAGTGTAAACTTTTCACTTTGCACGTTAAGACCTCTTTTTATTTGAACCATCCCCTATATATATATATAATAAAAAGTGGTCTTAACGTGCAAAGTGTAAAGTTTGCATTTTTTCATTTTTCGCTTGCACTTTTTCTTGCTTTTGTTGTACTTTTTCGCAGGAGCTCAAAAAAATTGGTTTATTTACAAAATTGCCACCGTCATTTTGGCCGAATTTGGCCAAAATCAAAATGGCCAAAAAGTGCAACGCAAACAAGAAAAAGTGCAAGCGAAACATGAAAAAGTGAAAACTTTGCACTTTGCACGGGAAGACCACTTTTCATTTGAACTCTTCCCTATATATATATATATATATATATATATATATATATATATACACACACACACACACACACACATTAGTCTAATATACATATTCCGTATTACATTAGCTGCTGCCACACCCCTTCGGAAATCCCACCCCTCGGAGGACGGTTGGGGAAAACATCATACTTCCCCCTCTGCCACACCCCTTCGGAAATCCCACCCCTCGGGTGAGGAACGACGAAGGGGTAGTGGCCCAAGACACGTCCTCCCAGGAAGTGCAGTCCCGGGACCGCCATAATGACAACAGGGAAAGGCCCCGTACTTCCGCCCTCAATCGGCTCGGAGGAGGGCCAGACCGCCGAGGGGTCCAAGACCGCCTCGGGAGGAAAGCACTCCAAAGGCCCCAGGAAAGCGGGGGATCTGTTTCGAGGGCAGACGAGGAGCGTCCCCCTCGGGACAAAGGCAAGGCACCCCTTCATGCCGATGATGCTCGGCACCAAATCAATCAGGCCCACTCGGCCCGGGTTCGTTCGCAGGGGGCGGAGACCCTCCCGAAGGATCCCCGGGACGAGATTATTGCGGCCCTCCAACGCCGGCTTGACGAAATGGAGTCCAACAAAGCTCACGCCACCACCTCCACCCCTCATTCAGATCTCAAATACGAGGCCATGATGGCCAAAATGGAGGAGTTACAGAAGAAGGTGGCCGAGGGCTCCGGAGAACCCGTCATCCAGCTCCGGACTCGGACGCCATTTACCCCAAGGGTATTGGCGGCCCGGATCCCGGAGAAATACCGAGGGCAACACATACAACCCTACAACGGGAAAACGGACCCCCAGGAACACTACAGCAAATACCAGAACAGCATGATGATGGTGGGGGCGTCAGACGAATATTTGTGTCGATGGTTCCTCTCCACCTTAGAGGGACCGGCATACGAATGGTTCAACAGGCTGCCCGAGGGCTGCATTGATTCGTGGCAAGAACTCGCCCAGCGATTCTTGACACAATTTGCCGGGAGGCGTCGCACAAGGAAGCACTTCTCCCACCTCCTAACAATACGCCAGAAGAAGGATGAGACCCTTCGGGACTTCCTGGAGCGCTGGAGGACGGAGGACGGTAAGGTCGACGGTGCTGATGACGGGACCCTCCTGGCCCTCCTACCAACCGTCCTCCGCACCTGCAACTTTTCAAGGAGCCTCATCATTGAACCCCCTCGCGATTACATAAGGGCTTTGCAGCGGGGGGACCGATATGCTGAGGCCGAGGAGGTGGAGAAGTACCACCAGCATCCGGACCAGCAGCCCCCGAGGGCTGACAACAAGCATAACCGAGGGCCGGGGGCTCCTCCAAATCACCCCAAGGCTTCGGGACCCTCTGATGACCGCCCTCGGCAAGGCCAGGCCAAGCCCGGGGGAGGTTATAAGAGCAACCCTAAGACTTGGGCACAGCCCATTCTCCTGGACCGCCCTCGGACACCATTGACGCACCCCGTCAACATCATCCTTGATTTTGCCGAGGAGAGGGGCCTCGTTGAGCGCGACTCTCGCGCACCCCCGGAGGTACACGCTATCAACCCTCAGTTCCCCTACTGTCGCTTCCATCGGCACCAGGGGCACAGGACCGATGACTGCCATCAGCTAAAGACAGCTATCGAGAGGTTAATACAAGCAGGGCACCTGTCCCAATTTGTTCAGAGCCCTCGGCAGGAGGGACCTTCTCATTAGGGGCCTCCCCGAGGGCACCACACGAAGGTAAATGCTTGGGTAAACCTGAATACCATCCCCCTCGGCAAGAAGAGGGAGATTGGAAACTTGGAAGAAGAGGAGGAGGAATACCCCCACTACCAGGAGAAAAAACGCCACATCCTCATGATCACCGGTGGCAATACAGGGGGCGATTCCACCAGCCAGCGAAAGAAGTGGGCTCAATCACTTTACGTGGGGGAAGTCACTCATATGCCCCCAGTAAAGCGATTGAGGGAGGAACCCATCACCTTCACCAATGCAGATCTCCCTCCTACTTCTTCTCCTCACAGGGATGCCTTGGTGATTCGGACGGAGATAAACGACACCATCATTCACCGAACTTACATTGACACGGGCAGCTCCGTCAATGTAATGTACCTCAGCACCTTCAGAGAGCTGCATCTGGAGAGGGGGTCCCTTCGGCCCATTAAGACCCCTCTTGCCGGCTTCACCGGCGATACTATTGATTCCGAGGGGGTAATAACCCTCCCGGTGATCTTCGGCGACGGGCTCCATAGAGCCCAGCTCGAGGTGGAGTTCGTCGTCGTCAACATTGACTGCGCCCACAACATCATCCTCGGCCGGCCAGCCCTCGAGGACCTCGAAGCCATCATCTCCATGAGGCACCTCTGCCTCAAGTTTCCCGCCGAGGGGGGCATTGGCTACTCCCAGGGGAACAAGAAAATTGCCCGCGCCTGCTATCTTCAGGTCACTAAGAAGGTAAGCAAGACGGAATTCCGTGTTGACACCATCACCGGAACCATCGACCAAGAGGAAAGAAGGCCGAGGGATGAACCGGCCGAGGACGTAGAAGACTTTGCGCTCGATCCGGCCCAGCCGGAGAGAGTCGTGAAGATTGGAGCCCAGCTCCCTGAAGATTTGAAGACCGGTATCACCGACGCCCTCCGCGCCTACTCCACTGTCTTTGCATGGGGGCCGGAGGACATGCCGGGAATTAGCCGAAGGGTCATCACCCACCGCCTCTCGGTGGACCCTTCGGCAAAGGCAGTGCAGCAACGAAGAAGACCCCTCTCCGCCGAGAGAAGGGAATTTGTGAAGAAGGAGGTCGCCATGCTCCTCTCCATTAAGCACATCAAGGAGGTGAAATATCCCTCATGGCTAGCAAATGTAGTCCTCGCACAGAAGCCCCCTACCTTCCGCATGTGCGTGGACTACACCGATCTCAACAAGGCGTGCCCTATGGATCCATTCCCTCTACCAAATATTGATCAACTGGTGGATGAAACCGCAGGGTGTGAGATCATGTCCTTCCTCGATGCCTTCCGAGGGTATCACCAAATTTTCATGCACGAGGAAGACGCCGAAAAAACTGCCTTCATGACTCCCGAGGGCATCTTCTGCTACCTTGTAATGGCCTTCGGCCTAAAGAACTCAGGGGCCACTTACACCCAGATGGTGGCCCGGGTCTTTCAAGCCGTCTTAGGGCGCACCATGGAGGCCTATGTGGACGACGTGATCGTCAAAAGCAAGCAATCTTCCAGCCATGCTGACGACCTCCGGGAAATCTTCGCCATCATGCAAAAGTTCAACCTTCGGCTAAACCCGAAGAAGTGCACCTTCGGCGTCCAAGGGGGCAAGTTCTTGGGTTACATGGTGAGCCGAAGGGGTATTGAGGCCAATCCCGAGAAAATCCAGGCCATCATCAACATGGAGCCCCCACGCAATGTGAAGGAAGTTCAACGGTTGACGGGCCGCCTGGCAGCCCTCAACCGCTTTCTATCTAAATCGGCGGAGAAGTCTCTACCCTTCTTCCAGATCATGAGGAAGACGGCTGGCTTTCTATGGACTCCAGAATGCCAGGGGGCTTTCGACGAGCTCAAACGATATCTATCTTCACCTCCTGTGCTCTCCAAACCCAAGGTAGGGGAGACCCTCTACCTCTACCTTGGGGTCAGCCCGGCGGCCATCAGCTCTGTGCTCATCCGGGAGGAAGACGGCATCCAACATGCCATCTTCTACGTTAGCAAGACCCTAAGGGAGGCCGAGCTCAGGTACTCCCCTGTGGAAAAAACGGTGTTAGCCATCGTCTGGACTGTCAAGAAGTTGAGCCACTACTTTCAAGCTCACCCGGTTCAGGTCCTCACTCATCAACCCCTCGGCGCCCTCATGAGGAGCCCCACCAGCTCCTCCCGCATGGTGAAATGGGCTATCTTCTTGAGCCAGTACAACATTGACATCCGTCCAAGGCCTGCCATCAAGGGCCAAGCCCTGGCGGACTTTGTGACGGAATGTACCGCAAGGGCCGCCACGGACGGGGAGCCCTCGGCTACCGCGGATGACTGGTGGACCCTCTACACCGACGGCTCCTCCGCGACCAAAGCATGCGGGGGAGGGGTGGTCCTCA